AAAAAATATAACACCGAAAAGAAAAAAACTAACCAATGAAAAACAAATTAAACAAGGAAAAATTTAGCAAATAAGTAATTACCAAAAACACATTCATTGTCATTTCTCTTGGTGCTAAAACTTTGATCTAATTTAGCAAAAGAGTGCGTAGGAAAATATATATGATATAAATTTCTACCCTCGCAAATACTAAAAAAGTATTCAATAAAAACTGGTTTGGGGATGATTTAAGCTGTAATCAATCCTTCAAGGTGTCCATTCATGCTAGATGGCCATATGTTGCCAGAAATATTCCACGATTTTCATAAAATTGAGTTTGATTCCATCATAGTACATGGAAATATCAAAGCTTCATAATTATCTATATAACTTATGACGATTGACCCAAACATAATCATGGGTCTACAAAAATAAATTATTAACCAGAAGCATTTAGCACAAGTAACATGCAACAAAATAGTTACGAAAGTGTGATTGTGGGATTTTCAAAAATCAAACTAAACTTCGGAAAATGGCGCATCGTCGAACAGCTGAGCAATCTCTTGAAAACGGTTGGAATCTCGCGCGAGCAGACATGCTAAAGCAAACATTAGCAAACACATATTGATGACTAGCTACATAACCAAAGACATGCTCGTCTAAAGAAGCAACTCGGAAGCGAGAGTCCCGAATATGATGTATAAGAACCGGTACATCAGGCTCTGACTAGCCGGTCCAGTCACTTTGATCAGTGCTCTGAAGTAGATGACTTCGCAAATGATGTATAGCGGCAGAATCGCATGGCTCAGCGTCCCGGTATGTAGTGAATTAAAATACACGAAAACAAGCAGCTTGAAGGTGCAACAAGACTTCGGTGCTGGTGTTCAAGTAATTGTGATAGTTTTTAGTTGTTTGCAAGGCCCCTGCATGGGTGTTTGAAGGTGCAACACTGCATTTGCTACAAGTTTGGGACTTTATTCTTTCTAGAATTGATGAATGATATGCAGGTTCTATTTGTTGTGATGGCAGTCACTGCTAGATTGTGGAGAATGTTGGCTGATTTCGTCTGATACTTTTTTTTTTCTTGTCTTAGGAGCCACTGTTAGTTCTTTTTCTTTATTATATGGCCGAAAGGATGTATTTTAGTTTGCAATGTGATTTTTCTTCAATTCTACACTGTCGATTTTGTAGTGGTATTTCGTGGATTTAGTTTATGGTAGGTTTCATCTTCTTTTCCCTCTATTTGTTATTGTATGATTTTTCTTCCTCTATTACAAATCGGAGGTCTCAGGCCTGCTCTGTGCCAACAAAAAAATTCTCAACTATATCTGCCTGTCCAATTTCTGTTCTTTCTTACATCTCGCTCTCCTCCAATGTAATGGGCTCTGTTTATGCTTTTTACCTCAGCAGTGAGAACCTTTAATTCTTCAGGATCAAATCCTATGTAATCGAGTTATCGAAGTTGAGTCGTTCTAAAGCTACCAAATGATTTTAATATTATGTTTTTTTTTTTCTTTCAGTCATACATACCGAAGACACTAGATTCCAATGTAATGTGGAAGAGGACGTGATTAGGATAACGAGTGGGAAGGACACTCGAGATATGTACTACAAGACTATTACAGGGTACATAAGGCTCTCATGAAGGACGCTAATGCTACAGAAAAGCCGACCGATCCTGGCGATAATACTAAAGCTTGCGGCAGCGAGTCCAAGTCCCATACAGATATAGATGAAGATTCAGAAGGAAATGAGTCAGCTTCCAAAACTGAGGTGCAGGCTACTGTTGACAAGAAGGCTGCTAGGAAGGAGAACAAAAAGAAGGTCAGAGAGGAAAAAAAGGGATGAGAGGAGAAACAAAGTCCCCATGGCTTTGAAGAAAGAAGGGAGAAGTTGGCCAAAGCCCACGAGACCAGGTAGTCATTGCTAGCCGTCGTATTAATATACGTGTTTTTTGGCATTTGCCAATAGTGAGAGAGAGAGTCACTTGTTGGATAAGTTTAATTTACCAGATGTGGAGATGGCTTTGCACTTTTCAGCAGTAGCCCAGTTTTAGCTGAGAGTAAAGCGAGAGGGATGAGTTTATGCTGTCTTGTATTGTGTCAGGGTGTCTTTACTAGATGATGTTGGTATATCGTTCCAAGGTAAATTGTATAGCAGCTTCTGTTTTTTTTTTTTTCCTCTAGTTAGTATAAGGAAGGAGGTCTTGGTAAGAGTTGGCTATGACCTAATAGTTTCTATCTGTTTGATTGAGAATGCTTGGCTGGCTTGGTTTGGAATTGCTATCATGAGATTAAAGCTTAAAATTTGCTGGACCAGGAGTTGATGAAGCATTGTTTTGGGACTCCGATATCATTCACATTTGTTCGTTTTTTGTGTTTCCCAACCCCGACAACTGTTGTGGGCGGGGTCAAAGACTGGCTATGCTCTCAAAAGACGAACACCATGCCTATATCAGTATTAACGAAGCACCTAAGCATCTAATCTCTTGTTTTCAGCGATCAGGCATCATGCCATGGCTACTGGAGAAAGTCCATTGTCCCTCAGGAACTATTCTCGCGGTGACAAATCTCACTATGTTTGGAGAATTTACAAGTGTTTGTTTGCAGCATGATATGATAGGAGAATGGTCCTTGAGAGGATGTAACAGGCCCTCGGGTGACTACACATTACTATTACGAATTTGGGGTGCGTTTGTTTTGCAGAAAATGAGTAATTTAGTAATTATTTTACAAAAAGTGACTTGTATCGCTTGAAATAATTAGTCAATAAAATTTGCATTCATTATCGACAATAATTTATATCTGAACATTTTTGTAAACGATGAAAAAAATTTCGGTTCATCATTATGGTAAGAGATACAAGTGACTATTTTTTGAAAAATATTTTTCAAATCATTCACTTTTATCGAAACAAACGAACCATCGGTCGTAGTCATAGTAGCCATAAATCCATGCAATGTAGTACAAAAGGAAAACCAATACACTTGGAGAGTTGCTGGACCTATCAAAAGGGTGGGTTGGGTCAGGCTTGGTTGGGTCGAAAACGAGTCCGACCCAACTTCTTCTTCTTTTTTTTTTTCAAAAGTTGACCCAATTTTAAATAATACAATTTTAGCAACTCAAACCCAACTCGATCCGGACCAAGCTTGTACCCAAACCTAAGTCGGGTTCTAATTCTTAGCATTTTTTCCCTTATATATGGAAAATAGCATATAAAGAAAACTAACCAATTTAAAACAAAGTATACAAGAAAAAATTAGCATATAAGAAATTTCTAAAACAATTTAACTGTTTAAAGAACACCTATCCTTTTATTTCTCCTAGTGCTAGAAATTCGATCTAATTTAGCAGAAGAGAGCATGCCTCAAAATATATGTATGTATGTATGTGTGTATATATATAAACCTCTACTCTTACAAACACTAAATATCTTAAAATACTTAAAAATTTAAAAATATTCACATATATCAAGATTTGAAGTGACCCATGCATTCTTTCCATTTTTTTCTTTTTTATTTTAATAGTCATTTATTAAAAACTGGTTTAGGGAAGATTAAAGCTATAATCAATCTTTCAAGGGGTCCATTAAGCCTAGATGACCATGTGCTGCCAGAAAGTTTTTGTGTGATATTTTTCCACGGTCTTCTTAAATTTGAGTTTAATTACATCTTTATACATGAAAAATATCAAAGTTTCACGGTTATTTATCAAACATGTGACCATGGACCCAAAAATATTCACAGGTCTATTATTAAAATCAAGAGTCTCTATTACAAATGACACATAACAAGATTGATACCCAAATACAAGCTTCTAGAATCCAACTAAACTTCGGAAAATGGCAAATCATTAAACAGCTGAATAATCTCTTGAACACGATCAGAACCTCGCGCGAGCAAACATGCCAAAGCAAACACTAGCAAGCACATATTGAATATTAGCCACATGGATGGAGACAGGCTCATCCAGAGAAGCAATTCTGAACCAAGAGTCTCGAAAACGATGTATAAGCACTGGTATATTGGGTTCCGGCTTGCGGAACTGGTCACTTTAATTAGTGCTATGAGATAAATGACTTCGCAAATGATGTAAGACTGCAGAACTGCGTGGGACAGCACTCCGGTATGCTGCAAATTAAAATACGCTATGACAAGCAGCTTGAATGAAGTGAATACTATGTAAAATCTCTTGATTGAGTCAAAACTTTCCTGTTGTTGCTGCTGTTGTGGTTGCTCGTCGTCCCTATATCGAATTAGGAAGAAAATAATGAAAATAAAACGGATTCGAAAGAAAAATAAACTAGCTTCTTTCTCTGCGCTCTAAGCAGAGTTTTTAAGAGCATATACACACGGATGAATTACATACCTTTCGACTGTTGTTGTTGTTGGTTGTTTGTTTGTAAAACAAACAAAATAGTGCATTTTCCTTTGTCCCACGTAGGAAAGTTTTGAGAAAGTGGGCCACTTTATAACTGTGAATATCTTCTTATTCTTTAGAGTGAAGACAATGGGGTGTGTCTTTAGTCACACAATACCGCGGTGCGCGATTTTGGCGCGATTATTAGGCGCACTTAGCACTTGGCACGCTTGCGCGTTCCGGTTTAATTAGCACTAATCCCTTTATATTTTTTTTATCTTATTTCGTAAGGTTATCTTATTAATTTTTTATTATTTGAAAGGTTATTTTTTGTTTATTAAGTAATTTTCGAAATTATGAAAATTCGGAATTATATATTTATTTATTTATTTATTTTATTCCGAATTTTACATGTGTCTTTCCAAGACAACTTTCGAAGATTATACTACGAAACTTTAAGGTCTACGGTTGCAAAGCGAGCAAACGTCGAGTCGGGAACAATAGTAATGTAAATGGGCAATATTTTGCATTACGAGCAAACTTTGCAAAGGGAGCAAAAGTCAAGTCTCCGCGTCAATCATGAGGATTTCAGGACATCTCCTCTTTGTCCTGAAATCGAGACCGTTGATCTGATCAACGGATTCGATTTGACGACATCCGATGTACGTCCGGATTTTCTCTTCAGGGATTGGAGATATCGAATTGAACCGGACGCCCTCCCTGCGCGCATTCATCCAGTTTCACTCGGCCGACAGACACCTTCACCCATTTCCCACCGTCGGGTCGTGCAGCCGCCAAAAGCTCCGTCGTGCTCAGCCGCTGCTTCAGTCGAGCTCGTCGCTTCCGCAGCGAAGCTCCGTCCCTCGAGTGCCGTTGCCGTTGATCGTCCTCCTCCGCGTCCCTTCTCAGGTAGCTCTCCCTCCCTCTCGCTCTCTCTACGTTCACACCGTAACCAGCCTCACGGAGTTTTCCTTTTTGGAACTTGATGTTTGGTTAGAACAGGCATCCGTCGTGGAAGAAGAATCGATGGAAGTAGGATTAGAAATAATGAATGAAGGAATTAAAGAAGCAGAAGAAGAAAGGAAGAATGGTGGAAGTCCGAGAAGAAGAAGACGAGAGAGGAGGAGGATGAGTTGCGGTCATCGGATTCAGAAATCGAGAACGCCTTGGAATGGTTTGGACTTGAAAGGCAGCGGGAGAAGCAGTGGACGGAGGAGCCCTTCCCTCCCAACTTGCGACTTCCGAATGCTCACGGAGGGCTTCCCACGCTTCAACCCCTGTTCAACCGGAGCCAGAGACTCTCCCACTCATATCTGCGCTTCCCCTTTGATGTCTCCTTTCTGCTGCTGGGGATGATTAGAGATTGTTCTTCGATGGACACAACACGTTTGGCTTGCCTGGAAATCCTAAAGTCATGGTTCTCCCTCTTTTTACGGTTTGAATTGAAGGTAATAGGAAGGGAGGTCTGAAATCGACTTTATGCTCGAACTTTGTAGCATATGGCTAGCATTCTGAATGAGCTGTGAAAATGGATTGGATTTTTAATCTTATGTGCTTTGGGGGAGCACTGATAGGACTGCTTGAAGAACTTCTTACAGATAAAAAAATTGAACGAGGAGGAGGTTTTAGTATGTACAGGGATTGGTTTCTCTTTATAGGGGCTGTTCTTTTGAAAGGGCTGGAGAATCTAGTGATTGATTTAGTGTGACTAGAGCAATATGCTGCTCAGAATGGTTGCTTTCCTAGATTGCACAACTTTTGATCTGTTAGCTGAGAAGGCTAAGACTTCTTATAAAGTACTTAAATTATGCCTTTAGCGTGACGATAAATTGTCTATAGGCTTCACTAGTAGTTTCTGCAATTGATATATGAGTGCTGATGCTTATTGAGTGGCAATGGTTGAAATATATATACCTTGTCTGCACCAGGTGTACTTGCGGTAACAGTCCGATAAATGACACTAGCGAATCTCCTTTTCGCTGTCTCCCCATATCGGCTGTCTACACTTTTGAGTTTCACCATCCTCCATAATTGTGATGGAACTGCATAAGAACTTTCAATTTTCAAACATTTTCCCCTTTTCACCAAAATAAGAATGTTGAGTTCATGCTGTCATCAATTTGGTGGGCACACAGAGATTAGCTATTTTAAATTTTGATAGTTTTTTGTTTTTTGGGGTCGGAACTTTTGACTTGAATAAGCATGTGCTGAATACTAGTACTGTGTCTACCACTTCCTCCTGCATCTAAACATGATATGGTGGACACCGATATGTTCTCTAGCTTCTTAATGTGTTGCTGAGTATTTAACTTGTTGAAATAATGGATTGTATGAATGAATACTGCAGGAGTGGGAAGGAAGGGTGAATGCTCCATGTCCAGCACAGTGACAGCTTCAATTCGAGAAAGTGTACGGGATATGGCTATTGGAAAAATTAAAAGTAATGAGAAAGCTGACCGTGCAATTTTCAAGCAGGTAAAGTACATTTTCATTGAAAGATTGATCAACTTTATACTTAGTGTTTGGTAAATTATTTCCATAAAATTCTCCATGCTGCCGTTGTAACAACAGCCACAGTAAGGTCTGTTTATACTAAGTGTAATCTGCTGCTTGGATTTTTCTCAAGTCAGCATATCCCCCGTTTTAAAGATAGAATTTTCGTCAATTTCTTCATTGGCCTCCTTCCTCTTGCTTTTCACCACTTTCCCAGGGTCAAATCTTCTGTGCTCGGCATGAAGCATGAGTGGAATCAACTTTCAGAATTTATTGATCTTAATGGATATAGTAAAACAAACTATAATTACTTTTATTTGATCATCTATAGTTTTGAATTTGAAACGAACCCTATTGCAAGCTTAATCTGTCTCTTTGCTAAATCAATACTTCGTTCGACTGAATCATAGCTGAGTAAACTTCTTTTAAGGGTGTATGCATTGGTTCATGTCCCCCCTTGCAGCAATAATTATTCAGAAGTAAGACCACTTTTAAAAGTTATTGCGGTTACAGTGTCGTGCCCCACCCCCACACCTAAAAGTTACTGAAGTGATATGAGCATCTCCAAGAAGTTCTCATGGAATTGTTTATCTGGTTGTGCAGGCCATTGATCAGAGGACTTGGATGGTTCTCTTCAAGACGCTCGACCGTCAAATATTTAATGATACAAATGGTTGCATTTCCACTGGCAAAGATGTATGCTATCATCTACAGTCAGCAGTACTCGCTACTTTCTCTTTTTCTACCAATTGATTGTAGGTGGAACTTCTCCACATCATTGTTTTAATTTCACGATTTTGCTAGTGATGTATACTTTTGCTACTACTGCATAGTCACTGTAACCTTTTGTCAGTCTTGACTTTTGTTAAGCAAATGTCTATCACGCAACATAATCTGATGGGCAAGAATTGGCAATCAAAGTCTACAAGACTTCTGTGCTAGTGTTCAAGTAAGTGCGAGTCATGTATTGTATAAGTGTAATTTACTGGTTGTGGAGATCAGTTTGTATTTTTCAGCGGTAGCCCAGTTTTAGCTGAGAGTAAAGCGAGAGGGATAAGTTTATGTTGGTCTTGTATTGTGTCAGGGCATCGTTATTAGATGATGTTGGTATATTGTTCCAAGGTAAATTGTATAGCAGCATCTTCTTTTCTGTTTTCTTTCCCTTCTTTTTGCTAGTTATTATAAGGAAGGAGACTTTGGTAGGAGTTGGCTATGACCTAATCGAATACTGGTTCCGATCCACCATCGATGGTTAGATACCTTCTGCGATTTTAGTTTGATTTTTTCACGTACTTTCAGGGGCAAGAAAATGAATAGTTTTGATATGTTGGATTGAGAATGCTTGGCTGGCTTGCTTTGGAATTGCTTTCACGAGATTCAAGGCCTATTGGTTTACTGAGGTGGGGGTCAAAGACTTAGCTATGCAATTACTAGGCAGATGTGTGAAATTTGCCAGAGCAAGAGTTCGTGAAGCATCCTTTTGGGACTCCGGTATCAATCCCGTTCGTTAGTCTCCTGTGTTATCCAAACCTGACGACTGCAAAGGAGGGAGTCACAGGCTGTGACTTCTGATAATAACCCTTGAACAGTTGGAGCCTTCAAAGGACCGCGGGTGTGGCCTTGTGTTGAATTGTAAGCCGCAACCCCCAGCGATAAATGAACAACTCAAGAAATGCTTTCAAAAGATAAACACCATGCCTAAATCAGCGTTAACAAGGCACCCTAAAAACATCATATTTGAATTATTAAACTCAGAATGACATACACCCAGAATGACATACACCTTATTTAGATTTCAGTTACATTCCTTCTTCATAAATTGTCTACGGACTCTGTGACGATTGAACAACAAATAATCATGGACCTACAATATTAAGTTACTATAATCAGAAGATTTATTACAAATAACATGCAATAAAATTGATATCCAAATACAGTATATTGCCGGAATTTCAAATATCGGTTGGCACGCCGTTGATCAGCTCAACAATCTCTTGAAAACGGTTAGAATCTCGCACAAGCAGACATGCCAAAGCAAGCACTAGGAAGCACGTGTTGATGACCAGCCACATGGCCGGAGACAGGCTCATCCAGAGAAGCAACTCAGAAGCGAGAGTCCCGAAAACAATGTACAAGTATCGGTATATCATGTTCGAGCTCGAGGGTTTGGTCACTTCCATCAGTGCTATGATATAGATGACCTCGCAAATGATATAAAACAGTAGAATCGCGTGGCTCGATACCCCAGTATGCTGCGAATTAAAATGCCCGATGACAAGTAGCTTGAACGAGGTAAATATAATGTGGAATCTCTTGGTTGAGTCAAAACTTTCTTCTTGTTGGTGTTGCTGTGGTTGTTCGTTCTCCCTATATCTAATCAGGAAGAAATAAATTAGAAGAAGAACATATTCAAGAAGACAAATCAGACCAAAAAAAAAAAAAGAAGACAAAATAAAAAAGAGGAAAATTATCCAAGAAATCATAAACCTATTACACTTGTACAAATTCATTCATATACTTTTCAATTATATTAATTGAGCTTTAAACATTTTGACGATTTGTCAATATAATCATTCGAATCAATTTTTGGCTGAAAATTACCAACGTGATTGTCCAATCAGTACTGATTGTCCTACGTGGACAAACGGATATGATATTCTGAATTTTTATTTTTTATTTTTTTCCTTTTGTGTTCTCTGTTCATCGTCTTGCTTAACCCACCCTCGCGCTTTCCTCTTCATTCTCTAAGAAAAGCTTCGCGGTCTCGATTGAATCGGACTCAACTTTGGATCTGGTCGCATCAAACCAGGAAATGCAGACTTATTGCTCGCGGCTTTGCGTCAGATTGTCTTGCACACAGGTGCTAAATTTTTTCGCGGTTCAACTTGAAGGCGACGAGCTCGATCAGAACAACCCAAATCATTTCCAGAGGCTTCGAAGCCCAACTCCATGCCGCGATGGAGCTCGAGCCCTCCAGATCTGAGGGCTCGAGCTCGGTGTCGCGGCGGAGTTCGCGGTCATGTTCGAGCAGAGCATTTTTAGATGAATGTTTAACAAACTCTTTGGGTGTCACACCATGATTGGCCATGTTCGAGATGGGGTTCAGCGTGGGGGTCGAAGAGCGCAAAGAACGCAATTCGGGCGCTCAAGAACTCGATTCGGGGGTTCAGCGTGAAAGAACTCGATTCCGGAGGGCCGGAGATTCGGGGGTTCAGGCTGAAGTACCCGATTCGGGCCCCTGAAGAGCTCTCAGCTCAATTCGGGCGGGGGGTTGTTAAACTCGTCAATTCGCAGGGGGGGGTAAACTCATCAACTCGCAAGGGGAGTAAACTCATCAATTCATCAATTCGAGTGTAAACTCATCAACTCGCAGGGGGGGTAAACTCATCATTTCCGGCCACCTTTATCGCGCTCTCGGCGTAGAGATATGAAGAGCATATTCATGTGATTGAATTCCGTACCTTTCCAAAGTCGCTGTTGGACTCGGCATGCTGTGGAGGAGGGGGAGCAAGTGCGGGAGACCAAAGGAGGAGGATTCGAAGAGCAAGAGGAAGAGACTTTGGGGGTGGCCCCCGGAGATCCTCCACTCGCTTCAACGTTTTCTGATCTCGAGCTTTTTCTTCTGTGTGCGCGCACGAGAGCGCGTGTGAAGTAAGCGATGGGCATGCTCCTTATATAGACAGTCCGCCTCCTTACTATTTTAGGGCTCGATCAAAGTGATTTTCACAGCCAATTCTTTTTTTATTTGTTATACAATTGATGTATAATGAGTCTTTAGAAAACCTAAGGCTCTTCTGATGAAAAAAATTAGTTAGTAAAGGCTTGTCTAACCTTTTGTGATGCCTCTAAAATGTTATCTGATTTCTTTAAAGCGTCTGCTTTTAATTTTGTACGCTTACAATATGGATTTTTTTTTTAATTTAGTCTCATGGGAGATCTCACAATTTTACTTTAAACTCCTATTCAATTAAAACACGCCACTTATATATTCTAATGATAAGTTCTCGTATTAGGCTCAGCCTCGATTGACCCAGGCCAGGGTCTAGAGCCCAACCTCAATGGACCTAGGCCCGAGCGCCGGGGACCGAGGCCCGACCTATGTAGACGGGGCACGGGCATTGAGTTTTTGGGCACAGTTTCGGTGGACCCAAGATCAATGTCTATGCTCGTGCCCAGGGGTAAGGGATACAGGCTTGAGACCCAGTGTTCGTACCGGATTCAAGTCACTAGTGTTTGAATAATGTATTTCTATTTACGAAAATCAAATGAAATTTTCTTTATCAAACGGCAGATAATATTTTTCAATTTATTTTCAGATCTCAATTAAATATTGGAAAATATTATCAATTTTCTGAAATATTACTTTCCAAATTTTTTTTAAAATATCACATTTTTCTAGAAACTGTGCATAAAATAACCGCTTTCCTTTTCGGGGATTGAGATATCGAATCGAACCAGTCCTCTTGATCAGCGGCTCCTCATTATTGGCCCTGCCTGCGCGCCTTCATTCAGTTCACCTGGCCCACGGAGAGTCGCTGCTCTCCTTCATTAACCCATCTCCGTCCGTCAGGTCGCTCAGCCGCCAAAGCTCCGTCGTGCTCAGCCGCTTCGGTTGAGCTCGTCGCTTCCGCAGCGAAGCTCCGCCTCTCGAGTCCGTTGCCGTTGATTGTCCTCCTTCACGTCCCTACTTGTGTAGCTCTCTCTCTCTCTCTCTCTCTCTCTCTCTCTCTCTCTCTCTCTCTCTCTCTCTCTCTCTCTCTCTCTCTCTCTCTCCATTCACACCGTAACAAGCCTCACCGAGTTTTTCTTTTTGGAACTTGATGTTTGGCGGTAATGGTTATATATGCCAAGAAGAAGAGTCAGTGGAGGCAAGATTAGAAACAATGAACGGAAGGGGAAGAAGAAGAAGAAGAAGAAGAAGAAGAAGAAGAAGAAGAAGGCATTGGAATGGTTGGACTTGAAAGACAGCGGAGGCGGAGAAG